GATGACATGAGCCCTCCTGGAAGAGGCAGAAGAAAAGTTTAAGATACTTGACAGTGTAGTTCATGATGTGCCAAATTACATGAGCAGTCTCTGCTTGTTGTGACGAGAGCAGCAAGGTAACCTACCCCACACTTGGAAATGTCAGCTCAGGTCAGCTCAGCCACGTTGGAAGTGGCCACTTCTCTCACTATCAGTAGTTAACAGCTGGTGGCTAAGAGGGCACCAACAAGGTACTTAACAAAGCTGACAGTTCCCAACACCTCACCTTATCCTTTTTAGCTAGAAGAACTTGTGAGAAGTCATGCTGTGCTGACACAGAGCAGCTGAATCGACCCTGGTTTCAAATACGAACATTTATTGAAATTGAGATCTGTCTGTGGCTTTAAGTGCCGTTTTAATTCTCATCAGTGGAGAGAAAAATTGCCTTGCCTGGCGTTTTCAGTGCTACAGGTAGCAGTGAGCAAAGTTTTGCAAATAGTGATGAAAAGTCTCTTAAACCAGATTTCAACTTGCTCGTTGGGAAGAGGAGAATTAAATATACCTCATCACAGGCAACAGTACCACCACCACTACCCCCATCAATATGTAAGTTGCAGGGGAATAAGGTGCTCCCCAGTCAAGGTAATGTGAGAAAGCACTAAAATGTGAGCTAAGTTTGCACATGAAGCATTAGGACTGCACAGAAGGAAGATAAATGAGATCTGAAGTGCAAGGACTAACCTGTGCATCCCAGAATAAAGAGTTCTGTGCAACTGGCATGTAAAACAAAGAGGAAAAAATGGAAATAAATACATTTCTGTATGGGCAGAATAAAACAATGACAGTCAATATAGTAACAAGCTAATCCCACCACTTGATAGGTGAGATTAGTTTGGTAGTACATGTCTAGGAACATTCCTGAAGAACAAGTGGGTACGAGTCACACATTTCAGAGGTGACTGGCAGTTTAGAACTTCCCCAATGGTAATGGCATATTTTCCAGATATCTGACTCTCCTCTTTCCAAAAGCAGCATCTTATCAGTGTGTTATTTCAACGAATACGTACAAAGGCTCACGAGATGGTTCTGAAATGTGGGGCGAAAGCAAGTTTCTGTAAAGGCAGCGAAGCTGACAGAGAAAAACAAAGCCTTGTATTACCTCCAGAAGTAGGATCTACAGTTCTGCAAGCTGCCCACTAAGGTGGGGAGCAGCACGGAGCAGAGACTGGGCAAAAAACTTGAACAATACATTTTTATCATTTTGACACCTACATGCTCTGAGATCATTTATTTAAGATCAACGTCCTGCCAAGCCTTAGTTCAAAGACCAGACTGTGAACATCCCTAAGAAGTGTGGAAACCCCGCTGAATTAAAACCATTTTCATAGCGACAGCTTCCAAGTGAAGAGCAGGAACTCTTATCTGTTGGCATCTTGTTTGTTTGTGATTATGTCCCCCTATCTTGAGATAAAAGTATTTTGTTTTCAGTGTATCATTTTAGTTATGCTGTTACTCAGCTGTCCTCTATCCCAACAGTTTAATTTTCTCATGGGATGTAGTTTGGGTCTCTGAGCCCAGGTATCTGCTCTGGAAAGAATCATTTTGCAATACATTTTATAATTCGCATCAGGTCTGCATTTAAATTAGTTCTGTTTCTGTCCTCAGCTATTCCACAGAAGTGTCGTAGGAGGGTCAGGGATCTTTTCCCAGCTTTCACAATGCGTTTATTCACAGCCACTCTTAGGCCAGCATCATCTGTTATCAGTTGTGGTGCCTCACACCCACCTGCGTTTTTCCTGCCCAAACACATACTTTAAGCAACCATATCATCTTGCAGCATTCACCTTTGGCAGATGGATGCACTGAGATACAAGACCTCACATACACGCCTGTCATACATACGTGGCAGACATGGCACCATGTCCGTGCTGTCCTGCAAGCAGCACAGCCACATGAGCACAGTGCTACACCCAGGCTGACCAGGGGAAAAAAAAATAGGCTTTCAGATCCAAAAATATCATGTGTGGGGGACAGCCCACACATAATCACATAAAAAATGATGTGTTTCTCCTCGAGTGATTTTGTAACATCACGTATTGTTCTTCTGACACTAGTTTCTTTCAGCTTCATGACAGAAGTTTAGTGCTGCTCATAAGCCCCACCTTAAGTTACGCTCTTCAGAAACCCACCTCTTAAAAAAACACACACGTGTGTATGAATATGATAAAATTAACTTTGCACTGCATTTCTATTTGGCATTCCAGAACCTTTTCTCCCCCTCCCTGATAGACAATTATCAGACACGTAAAATTTACAGTTTGACTTAAGACAAATAACTTCACAAACTTAAATCTGGAAGGCTTGTTGCTATTATAAATGAATGACATTTCCTTTGTATGTTAACATTTAGATGTGTGGACATGGGGAATGAACTGAAACCCATTACTACAGTTCCTTGTTCTCTTTTCTTGGATTTCATGAATATCATATGAATATCAAGTTTATTTGCTTGTAAAACAAATAGGTTTCTCAATTGTATGCTCTTTTTGCAACAGAATTATTTCTACCATGCCATCTGCTTCACAGGGTTCAGTTATAGCAGTTACCCTTCAGTTAAAATCCATGAATAATCAGGCTGAGGAGAAAAGAATTAGGCTAAATGGCCATGGGCTCTCATTTCTTAATTTCTGGGCAAGCTTGGGCAGATTCTAGGTAGTTATACAAAACATTATGCCCGTGGTTCCCTTCTCTGGGGACTCTGTTTTTCCCAGGAGTTTCTCCCTGCAAAAGCCCAGCTGCAAGCATGCCAGCACCTTCCTGGTGGGATAAGGATGCCCTTGGCGAGACAGGCTTCCTCACTAATTTAGGTCTCCTACCTAATTAATGCTCTATCCTCCTCCTTCAGGCCTAACGCAAGGATCAGAGTAAAGGAGATATTTATGTACCTAATCCCAGTCTGTTCTAACTCTTCAAGGCACATTCCTGATCTGGAGCCACTCTGTCCTGTGACTCAAGGCTGCTCACAACACAAGGACAGCCTGGGGAGACCAGCCCTGTGCTGGTGTCACCTCTCACTTCTGCCACCCTCTCCCGTTTTTCCAAAGCGTGGCCCATTTTCCCAGTATTTAAGGAGCACTAAGTTTAAAATTAGCGTATGTACTGTGGAAGACTTCCCCCAGAGCGCACAAAGCGTATTAAATGAGCAGATACCCAAAGTGTTACATATTATCTAGGATGAATATTCCTTGTATGGCAAATGTGCAAGCTCTGTTTGAGGTATACCTTCCTTATAGTAATGTTTCCAGCCAGAAAGAACCCTCCTTTTCCAGTATCAGCCATTTGACACCACGACCTAGCGACTTCCTCATGGATTTAGCAAAAGGAATAACTTGGTATGCTTGTGGGCATTTTGTGAATGCGGACTCTCTGCCTTTTACTTACAGCATGAACTCCGACTGAAAATAAACATGAACAACTGATGCCAGCTGTAGTCTACATACAGTACAGTGCAAGAGGACAAAGTATAAAGGAGAATTTTCTTTATTTTTAAATATTAGTAACACTGCACAAAACAAAAAAGTGGTACTTAAGTGACAGAAAACCAGTACTCGGTCTTATTTCATATTAACCATAATTTAAATACCCTAAGAGAGTTTATGTACGGTTATATGTTTGCATAGGGTTACATTGGGTAACATAAGCATTTGAAGCTGAACCATTCAGATACCAGAGACACCAGAATTTGTTATATCATGCTAGAATGCAGACTTGATTTTTCTGTTTAGTTTCTTCTTTACACCATTATGTGCATTCCAACATCTTTTAAATGTTAGGATGAGCGAGCTTCTGCAGGAACTGTGGACTTTCAATATTGCCAGGTTTAAGTCTGATACATCAGCATATTGGCAAAGGGAAGACAAAAGAAACAAAACAAAACCATAAGCTGCTAACTCCTACCTGGTGGTTAAAAAAGGAGGCGACATACTGACAAGAAACATGCAGGTAAATGCTTAAGGCAGTGGAAGGGCTCTGTACAAACTAAAAGGTTAAGAGAAGCAATGTGTCATGCACGAGACAAGTACGGGAAGCAAGGAAGTAATCTTGCCAGAAAATACATATTTCTTTTTAAATGAAAACATCCTTTCACGCTAAAAAATATTAGTCCTGCATTAAACTGATGCAAAATGCTTTCATACATAAAGATGTAAGTTCCTTGCAGAAACAACTTGATAAAATCTTACACGGATGCCGAAGATGTCTGTTATCTAAAACCTACTCAGCAGAAACAAAGATTTTAAAGTAGCACTTAGGTCATTTGTCTCTAGGTTCTGAAAATAAACTTTAAAACTAAGGAATGATTTCACTAAATGATTCATTGGGAGTCAACTATGCTTAAGGAAATCAGTAGGAGTGCTTACAGGAGACTATCATTACGCTAAGTTTCTTAAAATCAGAAGAGAGAACTTCATGGTACAATTTAAAATGAAGGAACATTTTAATAGGGGCAAACCTTTGCTGCCCAGCTTGGGGGGAAATGACCACCCTAAAAGTCACTTATTTAGCTTGCATAAATTATCCTATAAGAGCTCATGTCTCCATACCATTCCCAATGACATGAGTGAATAGGACTCTTCTTTCAACAGGCCTGATGTTGATGCAGAGTAACCAAACAAACAGGCATTTACACAACCCTTTATATCCTAACAAGACAAACACTAGACTAGAGTCATTTTAGTCCCAGGGAAGGAAGAGGTAAGAAATTCAGTACCGCTTTCCAATTTTTAAACATATCACACTTCTAACCAAGATAAGCCTCGTTCAAATTCCCTAACCTGACTGGCAAGAAAGCCACCCCGTGAAACTAAAAAGAATAACATAGTGCAATTTTAGTACAGCTTTAAACATGAGTCACTTCCTTGCTAGCAGTGTGCACAATCAAAAAATATACACAAAAGAGGTGTGCTCAAATGTTTCATTGTTGTCGTTATTATAAAGGCATTGGCATAGCAGAGAAGTCCATTTTAGTAACTCCCTTTGGTTGACTTCTTCTTCTTCTGTTCCTCTCTCTGCTTCTGCTTCCTCCTCTTGCTGCCTTCTTTGTGTCCTGAAGGAAACATGGCTTGTAAAACACTATTCACAGCATTTATGGACTTTTCCCTCTAGCAAAAGCACATGTTCTCTGAATGGTTTAATGAATCTTAAAGAAAAGGTCTGACGTTCTAATGTGGTTTGTTTTTTTAAATGACGATTTCTACTATATCCCCAGTTCTATTATATCCCTTACGTAGGATAGAAAGAAAATACTGTCAACCTTTGAAGTTTGAAAAGATCTGGAGAACTTTCAAAAGACTTCAAAGCCATTCAGGAAAAGCTTCAAAATTAGAGCACATGCAAACCCAGAATAATTTTCAAAACAGAAGTAATAAATAATACTTATAAAGCAGGAGCTATTTAAGTACTGGTGATTGCTGCTCACAGTAGTCAGTTACCACGGTATTTGCATTTTCATTTTAAGACTAGGGAATGCCAAGAATCCTGAGTAAATAAGAAGATGCTCAGTGTTTACCAATATGCATTTTATATACAGGTGATCAGCCTGCTCATGTTTAACTATGCCTGCTCATGCTTAACTATGCACCATAGGTTATATTCTACTGCAGCTCCAATGGTGCATGGAAGCATTGAGCAATTATTTGCTACAGGTCCAGTATGCACAAGCCTCCAGCCATGTGGTCATCATCCCAATGTTCCCCACCTTCAAAGATGCATGAACACAGTTCTTACTCTGCATCACTTCCTCCAAGCTTGCAGTAAAATGCAACCTGCACTCTTGCATGGACAGTGAACAGTGCAGAACCAACACCACCTTTGCCCAAGCGCACTTACAAATCTAACCTCAAGGCTAGTAACCATTTCCCTCAGACAATCATTCTGTAGTGCTGTGAGATAGCTGGAGGGATCCTTCAGCTCAGCAGTGCTCTGCCACTGGGAGTTTGAACAGCCTGGTGAACGGGGCCAGCACAGACCAGAGGAGCCCCTGCGAGCCAGTCAAGAGGCAAGGCTGGGAGTCACAGGAATGGCCCAGAAAGGGCACGGCTCTTCCTGTCTGGAAATCTCTTTCTTTCCCTCCAGTCTGTCTGCAGGCAGGCAGAGATGACTCTGAGGAAGCCATGTCACTATTGCCTAAAGAAACCTGGTTCTCCATCAGTTTAGCACCAACAGTAAAATTAAGATGGGAAAAGAAAGTGGTGGGAGGTCAGGGGAGTATGAAGCCACACTGTGGCTGAAGTTTGCTCCTAATCAGAGCTCCTCCCAAGTGCAATTAGTGTTGTGCCCACAGCAGAACTGCAGGTCTTTGGTTTAAGACTTGGGGAGAACCATGAGATAAAAATCACTCGAGACATTACAAAAAGCTTGTGAGTTAAAGGAAATGCACTCCCCTTTGTAGCACAGAGAAACTGTTCCTAGGTTATCATTCTAGCATGACTTCATCTTCTGCAATCGTCTGAGTCAAGCAGCAGGATATTTATTTAGAAATTCTGCCATGAGTGATTAGCCTGAGCAAAGTTAGAGTGGGAACCAGCTGTATCATTTAAGGAAGAGAAAAACCGGCAGTGCTTTGCAGAATTGCAGATGACTGTTATCCCTGCACCCTGCTACCTTCCCGAGCTACAGTTCTGCCCCAGGGACACTGCATGAACATCTCCTAATTGAAAACTCCATCCATGAAGTTTACTTCAATGTGAGTCCCTTGGTCACTCACACAGCATCAAAAACAGGATCCCTTGGCATTTAATTTATTGCTGTAAGGTACACATCCCAGAAGGGCTCAAGCATCTCTTTGCTTTCCCACGGAGGCCAATTGAGGCGGAAGAGACGTGCTGACTCCTGAGAACCAGTCATCGAAGGGTGTTACTCAAAGGATTTTTCCTTTTACTGGAGGGAAAAACAGCATCATATCAGCTGATCAGAACTAGTTCATGTAATAATTATGAAGCATTAATATTTGGGGAAGTAACATTAAACCCTAACAGGTTATTAGCTTCATCATTTTCTCATTTTTCATTCTCAGAACACTGTCAGTATTTCTAAAAGGCTCCCACATCCAGACATGATTACATCTGATACTGCTATTTGTATCACAATACCACAATACTTTTTTTTCCCCAACAGTCCGTTTTCTTCAAATGTTTGAGATTCTGAAAGCAATTCTAGCAACTCTTCCTTAAAAATACTGTGAGTCAATGTAAATTATGGCTTGAAATGAATGCCACATAATTCATTGTCTTATAAATGGAACAACCCAAATGTTAAAATAATGTGATATGAAGATATTCAGGCATTTGACAACATGGTCTCCTACCAGCCACCAGAATGATAAGGGTGAAAAGTGGAAATCTTTCAAGTGTTATCACTGACACACAGAAACAGATTGGCCAAAGCAGGAGATAACACACAAATACAAAGTATTCCTCAAGAGAAAACTGCCAGGTCTTTTCTGAGCCTGCTGTGATAAATAATTTCACTCTCAACCATTTCCTTTTCTACCCCCACCTAGGAAGAAAGGATAGGTCAAACTTTGCCAGGCTTTCAGCTCCAGTGATGCAATGCTGGGTGATAACAGCTACAAACCTGATCCCCACAAGTGAAGCAGCTCCTAACAAAAATAAAACTGCACACTAAAGATGTAACCCTTTGGCACGTATTTCACTTGAATACTTCAACCAGCACTCATTAAAAGCACATTTAGCTGCCTTAGTTACAAGACCAGCCCCAAAGTCATGAGAGAACAAAACCTGCTACTTAATTTGCAATGAATCTGTGTCCTGGTGAGTCGCCAGCATCACGAAGTGGTCATAGAAACAACAGTTCTGGCCTTGGAGAAGGCTTTTCAAATTCCCACCCTTAAAAGCAATTTGTTAGCAATCTTAACTCTAGAAATGCATTGTAGGGAGGGAGAATGGATTGCTGGAAGCTTTCCCAAGCTTTGACATTGGGAAAACAGATTCACTCAAATGCAGAGAGATACCACCCTAACTCAGTATGCTCTTGGTTTTGTCAGCTGCTGGGAGCAGAGATGGATAAAGCAAGAATCCATGCCATTTGGAATTACACCTCATTTACAATGAGGACAACTCTTGTCTAAAACAAACAGCATTGGCTGATCTGCTCTTTCCATTTCATCCTCTTCTCTTCTACTTCTAGAAGAGCCTAAAGAGCTCTGAAGCTATTCCAGCTTTCATAAAGCTGCTGAAGGCTGAAACCAACTTCCAACAATGCTTAGTAGCAACATTCTCAACCCCTCTGCAAGGACCAAAAACAAATTGAGAAGCCTCTCTGCTGTGTCCCAGATAGACTTTCCTCTGGCATCTTACTCCTTCTGACTTTCCTGCTTCTCTGCCATCTGCACCTCCCAAAGTCACAGGCTTGTTCAGTCACCGACTATGAAACTTGTCACATTCTTGGGCGGCAACTACAAGGGAGGTGTGCACATCGAGTGATTGATCCAAAGGGACAAGTGTCCTACCCAACCCATTGGTGGTATCCTACTTCTTCCTGCTCTGCCTGACATCTGCCTGCTCTACCAGGATGCAGAGAGCAGCCATGGGTCTGCTCCACCTTCCTCCTGCCAGCATAGGAAAGCACAGGAGTCAGCAGAAAGAAACAAGGTGTTCAGTCATGACCAATGATTAACAGGCAGCATTGCAGCTTCTTGACCCACATCCACCAGTAAGACAGGCCTTGGCCTGATTTTTATGAATCTCCTGCAAAGGTGAAGACTTTGGAGGAGCTGCTTTCCACTTTCAGGCTCTGAAGCACTGAGGTTGGGGTGGGAGGGATTCATGCTTTCTGCTCAAGTCCCAGAGAAAATGGTTTTTGAGATCTACTATTTGCTAAGATTGTGGTCAGTCTTTTGCCCTTCTTTAAACCAAGAAAGCAGCCATAGCTCTAACATGCACAAAGCTTTAACAGGGCAGTGGGCCACGTACAAGTTGGGTTCTGTAGTGTTTTCCAATTCTCTGCTCTTAGAAAGATCTCTCTGGTCAAAATAATACGTTGTTCTTTCAAAGGCAGCTAGCTTACTTCTGTGTTGCAGCCACCATCTGTTATCTCAGGCTGACCATACTTCCATATGCCATTATAAAAATTCATCCCAGATCACAGCTCTAGTATAATTTCATGTGTGTGACTCAATTTACGATTACAGCTTTACACTTTCACATTCCCTCCTTTTGGCCCCAGCCACTGTCCAAAACACACCGCAGTTTGACCTACTAATTCTCTCCCCGCATCCATAGCTCCTGGCCCATGCCACAGAGCATCACACAGAGAGAACCTGCCTTTATATCCAGGCCTGAGGTGACAAAACATCCCACCCCGTCTAGGTATGCTGCTCCACTATTTAATTATCCCCACTGTTAAATCCAAGGAGCGAGTTCTCCAGTTTCACTGGCCAACCCAGTGATGTAATTCCAACTTTGATGTATTGGGGGACTGAAGAACTTCAGCAACTTACTGGGGCCTTCCTTCATGCTTGCTCACCATACTATCTTCAATACCAATTCTGTCTAGAATTGCTACAAGAACATACCAAGCCAGATACAACCTACCTGCCTGCTATTAAGGTGATACTATTACTGAATAGAGTCCAAGGTTTTACTCCCACATAGCAAGCAAAAGCTTGCAAGCCTATGCAGCCTTGGAAGCCCTTCCATGGGCAACCCAGCTACCTTCTACGGGAAGTAACTGGGTGATGGGATGCTCTTGTACTAGCAGCCAAAAACCGTATGTGAAGGCAGCTCTGGCTAAGCCAAGGAACAACCAGTCAGCCTTCAAAAACAGGCAGACAGACAGTCTTCCCAGCCTCTGCCACGGAAGAAGATGGCTGTTACCCTGTCCCATCACTCGCAGCTACAGCCAGGGGATGTGAAACAAAGGGAGAGTGAACTCCCTCCCATCCGCACCTCCAGCTTTCTTTGCGCATTAGATTTCCACAGAAAACTGGTTTTGCTTTCCTTTCTCTTTCCATTATATGCCCAAATAGAAGTATGTGAGGGAATTATAAAGTAATTAGTTTGGATAATCAAGCATATAGATTTTATTAGTTAGTAAAGAGTAATTCAGGAAAGCGAATGCTGGTAAAAAGGAGACTGCATTTAAGATGAAATAAATTACAAATAGCTCAACTTTCCAGCAGAAGAATCCATGCCAGGAAAGGATCAAGATTAGTTAAGCTAGTTCTTTTAAAGCGGTTTCTTCTTCAGAGATGCCAGTGGATAAAAATGCAGCAAAAATGAATTATTAATGGTGTAAATTTTAGGTTAATGCAAGCTATTCCATCCAAGAGGAAGAGAAAACCTTGCAATATTATCTTCCAAATAATGATCTTTCATATCATGTATTTTTCAGTATTTTAACAATTAAACATATCAACCATTCTTGCTAAAAACCTCTCAAACCCAAAGAAGTAGTTTTTTTAAGGGTAGATACCACTACCTCTGCTATTAATGGCTGCAAGCCCCCAGTCTCTGTTGGCATTAATACCACTTTGACACAGCTTGGGTACCACCAGTAAGCCATACATCATACTATCAGGAAGCATGTTACTTGCAGCAGCTGAATTCTTACTAAAAAATGACTTGTTTTGAGCTATAGAACTGTTTTGAGATATGCAGTGACTTCAGAGCATGAAAAGTTGTATTCTAAAAGTCCCTTATAGAACCAGGAACAGTGTGAAACTCAGAGCAATTTCCACTAAAATGCAAAGCATCAATGTTAGATGAAGAATCAAACTAATTTTTCTATTAAATACCAGCTGTAATGCCTGGAAATCCTGACTAAGGAGAGGATTCATCTCATCTCTGGATACTGGTTGCCAGTCTAAAGTTGGCCAGCCTTTCTCTTTGGGCACTAGAGAGAGACAGCCCCTTCCAGAGGCATTCCACCACATATTCAAGATGAAACCTATCCCCTTTTCCTTCATTTAAATTTGCTACACACTTACAAATTAAAACTCAAACATTCCCACTCTTAGAGCTGCAAAAAGAAAACCATTTCACTGCAGGTGAACTATTAACATCTGAGGATTTGCTTGAGGTGCTCTAGCTGGGACAATGTCTAAAACTGCCACACGGTCTCACTGCCAAAGGCCACACACCAGTGGTAGTAAAACAGTCAGATTTGAGGTGGAATGGTGCCTGTTTTGAGGCCATTGAACTACACTGTTTTCCACTGAATTGAGTGGGCTTTGGACCAAGGCAGCAAAAGATACTATTCTTTCCCAGCGCTGGCCCGTGTAAGCACAGCAGCTGTTGCAGCGATCAATGAGAAGCCAAGTGGGAGCACCTAAGTGGTCTATGTAATTACAGTGCTGAGCTGGTGAAGCCTGCTTGTTGGGCAAGGCAGTCAGCAGAAGTGAACACCCATGAAGGAGAACGGCATTACTGGCCAGGGCTCATGCACGAATATCCCAGGGAGGGGTTAAGACACTCACGTAGGGTTTTATGACTGACTCGACCAGTCCTTCAGCAGCCCTGTCCATCAGAGGAACAGCAGGCAAAATATTTAAAGCAACAGTAAAATCTTAGTCTTACTGCAATCAAATTTTCACCCTGAATCTTTTACAGCAGTTCACAACCTACTGGAGGAAGAGAGGGGTTTTAATTGCAAACTTGTGCATCTTAGATCATAGATTCACAGCAAAAAGTCCTCAGCAATCCTCAAAATTGCCCCAAAATTTGCAAGGTGCATGTCAAACTCAGATGCTCTTTAGAAAGCATAATGACGTATTGTTATGATTGCAGAGAACCTCAAGTCTCCAAATACAGAGCCAAGGGTTTGTTTTGCTGCCTACAGATACAGGAGACAAAATCTAAAACCCTTGCACGGGAGATTTCAGGCTATCAGCCCAGAGGTTACATTCAGGCTTCTGCAGAGGAATCTTAAACTTTTTCTTTTCTTTTTTTAAATAAAAGATTCAACTTGGCCATCCCTAAAGAGACAAAACTTCCAGCAACTGATCAGGAAGACATTTATCTAAATGTCTCTATTTTTATAAGCTATCATCCCGCATGATAGCTGTAGGTCTTCCATATAGAAGGCAGCACTAGATTTAAAGGCTCATAAATGCAGCAGAAGTTGGTACAGCACTGGGAGTGCATGAGCACACATTTTGGGGTACACTGCATGTTTTTCCATGCACTGTGTTTACCCTCAGGAGCCTCATATGCTCGCACTTCCCAGCACTTCACCTAATTCAGCACTATTGAGAAAGGCCCTTGGTTTGGGCATCAAAGCAGAAGGGCATCTTCACGTTTCAGAAAAACCTGTCCTGGCAGTCCTGGATGATCTTTGACCACAGGTTCAAATTAAATTAAGTACTTATGAGGACTCTGTTGTCCCAGATAGCCTCTGGACTATATTGCTAAAACATTACAGACAGGGAATATATCAAAGGACTAATTACTTCCAAAAAATAACTGGGACACTCGCCGTGCTTCCGCATTCACCTGAATGGTCTCAGCCTTCTCTATTGGGATTTAGGTGCCTAAAATTGCAGCTTCCAGAAATAATATCAAGTTGCTGAACTTTGCCTTCAACAGAGAAGCCAAGCACAATTTAAGTAAATGAATGTGTAAAGTATAGTGATCAGTTAGTCTCTGAAAGGCCTTCACTTTTAAGAACAAAGAGCATAGGCACTTCAGCAGCATAAAGATATTTGCCTCAGATCCTTGAATATCCCAGGGCATTTATGAATCTAGACTAAATTTAAGAGCAGAGCTAAATGCAAGATGAGGGCACACAGGCTCCTGTTTATTATCTACCGGGGAGCTAACATTAGGTCAACACACAGCAAAAACCTTTTGCTTGAGTTTTTGGTTTTGGCTTTTGACTAGCCGGTGGGTCCTTATCTGTGCATTTCTCATCAACATGCTTGTGCACACCTGATAAATAAAAAGGGGACTCCAAGCTGCTTGTAACCCGGCTTCTATCTTGTTCTTCCACATCATCGCTATTATAATGATAGGCATATCTGGGGGAACCGGCAGGCTTGTGAGACTTCAGCATGCGAGGGTTGGTCGGCTGGAAAGGTAGGGCATGTTGTCCTCTCCGTCTGCACTCCTCAGCAAAGGCTTCTTCATCTGCCTCACCTGAAAAAGCAAAGAGTGCAAGAAGAGTGAGCTGCACCCAAAATGCTTATGTTTAGCCTGAAAAACATCAAAACTGGGCTGGAAATTGCATGTCAAAACTACTGCCTTGACTGTGGTTAGCTCACAGATGATAGTCCTGTCTATATGTCAATCGGGGGGAGTCTGGAGCTCTATCAATGGCCTCTCACCACACTGAAGCCACCCAAATGTCAGCTAGATATGACAACCCAGGGGCCACTGTCTCCTTTTCCCCCAAGGGCAAAGTGAGTGAGCACAGCACATGGCCTTGCATGATACTTTTGTCCTGTGCAGAGCATGTCATCTCATCCCACCTCACCTGGACTGTCTGCCTAGGAAGGGTTGGCCCTCCTCAAGGAAAAGGTATAGGGAAAGGAGGGAGAAATACCCAAGCTGGCTATAGGGATGATGGGAGAAGAACAAAGTCAACTTGGGTTCAGAGGGGCTGGATGTTGGATATCCACAGCTGGAAGGATGGCAGAGAAGTGTGAAGAACCACATGAAGATCGGAATTGCACTGAAGATGCAAGAGGTAATCCCAGTCCAGGGGGCAAGGCCAGCATGCACAACAAAGGCAAATGAACGCAATGGAAATAAAAACATAATATTTACAAAAATATGAAAGATGAGTTACTCCTGTCATACTCATGCTGTTGTGCAGATGACACTTTCATTTGCTGCACAGCCTCTAACAGTACCCATGCTGTGCAGTAGAGAAATCAGCTACCATAACACAAAAAAACCCAGCAAAACCACACTTTGAAAAGCAAACAGTAAGACAACAAATAAAAAAGCCAACCAGAGACATTCAACAGAGAAAATAATGGGTAAAAAACAACAAAAAAAAAGTGAGAAGAGAGGTGTGTACCACATTCATCTCTTAAAGGCTTTTTAAAGTTTCATTAATTCAATTACTTAAGTACTGTTAATAGAGCTGATGAAATACGGCATCATTCTATTTGCATCAAAAGTGGTGTGTCACATTCTGGAAGTTTTTCCTGGGATGTGCCCAGCATCAGCTGCTTAGGGAGGGGTGTGTGCTCTCAGCTTATGCGTGTGCTCTTAGTTCATGGCTGGAAAATGCTTTGAAGATGGAAAAAGCACCACATACGCTGTAAGGAACAAGAGCAGTAATACCCACTTTGCTGTGTGCACCAAACCACCACCACTTTCAAATAAAACAGGTTGCATTGTTTTTACCTTGTAATTGTACATGGGGAGATGCTTCTGAGGGCATGAGGAAAAGGAGGCAAGGTATGTTTGAAAAGTCATTTCACAGTGCACTGTGGCACAGGAGAAGGGGACTCCAAGACATCCGTCATATTGCTCCGCTGTGTGCTTGAGCACCTGATGTGCATGGGTATTCTGCAGAGAACCCTTTTTCCCAGGTGATTAAATGTCCATTCCTCCCCCAACACTAACACTTTTTTACCCTGGAGTCTCCTGCACTTCCAAAGGCACAAGCGAATAACAGAAGAGCACAAGTGATGGTAACACTGAGGATGTGTGCATTTAGACACCACCTGCCTGCATTGTACCAGTGTAAAACTCTCAGTGCACAGTTCTCCTTGCAGGAGGAGCAGGCTGGCAGGACAGCTTTTTTCCCCTTGCATGGAGCACAGCACTTCAGCTACAAGAGGCAGTGAGAGCAAGGGAATGCACAGAAAACACCAGATACAGAATTGCTGTCATTTCCCGTAAGAGGGTGTGGGATTTTACAGGCTATACAAACAGCACTGAGGCGTGTATCAGTCTGATAAAACTGGCTCTATGAAAATGAAGGCTATAACAAGCCAGGAATCAAAAAACAACATTGGAAACCAAAGTACACCAGTTGCACATATAAAAACCAGTCAAGAGAGTTTACCTTCCAATAAATTATAGCGCACTTAGAAATAGGAGAGGCCTCCCCTTCCGTGGAAACACAAACTGCCTGGCTTTCTGACGGGCAAAGCCTTGCTTGATGTGTGTTTAAAATTCATATTGGCAAGCAGATGCAGGAATGGGAAATGTGCTGTGGGCATTCTCAATGCTCTGTGCATGTGCTCGTGTGTGTGCATCGCAGAAGCACCTCAATTAGACATACTAACACTAGCGTAATACTGGACTCAGGGAACCAGCATCCCTTTGGAAGTTTGTCTTCAGCCTTTTCCTTCTAAGTGGATTTGTGATTAGAATGTTTCTAAGATGAGCTGACCTGTTACACTGCAAGAGAATTCCCCCTTAAGCTGCCATCAGCATTACTCTGTTATTTAGGGTGAAAGCATTGGCACACTGGGGAGGCTGCATCTGCATGCCACTAAACACAGTACAGTGGCAACTGAAGCCAAATACTTCATTTACTTTGTCGAGACCAAAAACTACCCAGTTTTCCCCCAGAAGAATAATTTGTTTCTTATTTCTGGGCTGCCCATGCCATCTGCCATCTGTCCTTCACCCTACAGTGGAGCCCTGGGGGGATGCAGAGCTGCTCCCCACCACTACACATGCAGCACATTTTGCTGCTAAATCATAGATTCACAGAATGGTTTGGGTTAGAAGGGACCTTTGTAAGTCATCAAGTCCAACCCCCCTAGAACAAGCAGAGACATCTTCAACTACATCAGGTTGCTCTGAGCTCCATCCAGCTTGACTTTGAACACTGCCAGGGATGGGGCAGCCACAGCTTCTCTGGGCAACCTGTGCCAGGGTCTCAGCACCCTCACGGTAAAGAACTTCTTCCTTGTACCTAGTGTGAATCTGTTCAGACATTACTCTTCAGTTCAAAGACGTTACTCCTTGTTCTGTAGCTACAAGCCCTGCCAAAAAGCCTGTCTCCATCTTTCTGATAAGCCCCCTTTAAGTATTGAGCCAGACTGAACAAAACCAGCTGTACCAATTGCAAATATGAGACTTGAAAAGAATTTACTCTGGGAAAGGTCAGCCACACAGGGCATCACTACCAAAAAGAGCTTAAACATTGCTGGAGCTTTGCCAGCAGTGATGTTTGTCCTGGAAACAGCTGGTGTGGAGGGGGCGTACATAGCCCAGTTGAGAGCTGGAGTATCTGCTTGAGAAGCAGCTTCCAGGGGTGCTCCAGCTTTAAACATCCCTCTGTTCCCCCCACAGCTCCCTCTTGCCTCCTTCTCCCGCCCCTCCAAGCCAGCACTCCCACGTGAGCGCCTGGGCAGCCGCACCGTGAACCCCGGCAGGGGATGGGACTGACCCGGGTTAAAAATAACGCTCTTTCTGCAAGCCTATTTTTAAGCCAGCTCAGTGCCCGGATCCAGCTCATCCTGTGGCTGCCCCAGCTGGGGCAAGGAAGGGGGCAATTACTGGGGACTGCTGGAACCAGCATCTAGATTACAGCGCCAATCAAAAGCTCTTATTCCATTAATGCAAGTATTAATTACAAACCTTCAGCTATTTCACTTGCAAAACCAGTTTGGGGAAGTTGCATTTCTAAGGGTTAATTCTGAAAATGAGGGATTTAGTATTACTAGTACATTTAAAAACAGTAATTAATGTTTGGGGTTCTGATGCATCAGGTTCTCCGAAATTAAAAGGAGCTTCTGGGGGAAAAAAAAAAAAATAATAAAAAATAGAAATCGAACACGAGCTGTAGCATCCTCAAAAAGCTGCATCAGAACCAAAACCTGGCATCTGCCAAGAGGGGCTGAAAAATAACTCGTCATAGCAAAGTGCTGCTGTATGAAAGGGGAAAATATGGATCCTTTAAGCAGTAATTAACCAGTAGAGGGCAATATTGCCTATCGTGAGGGTCAACGTTATCAGAAAAGTCACTGCCAACTTGTATTTATTGGGTAATACGTTGATTTTATACGTCTAAGGCAAACCCCGAGTATGATTCTTAGACTAGGTGGGTGCTTTAGGGGAGCCGCCAGCTAAACCAAGGGGTCCATGTGTGCTTCTAGGAAACGGAGGTAACACACAGGAATACAAACACTGAGGCAGAGGATATTCCAGGTGAGGTGAGGACAGGTAAGTCACGGAGCACTTCACAAAAAACAGGGGCTAGCATCATTATTTTGTGTTACACTTAAATAACATTCATGTACATCCTGGAACTGACCTGAAATCCTACCAGGAATCAGCACTAATTAACGGCAAGATAGTAATTAACAGGAACACATTGAACAAACCGGGGTAAACATCCTGAGGATATCAAACCACTGATTTACATTCACCATGTCACTTCCCGCGCAAGAGGAAGCGGAGCCCTTGCAGGAACCGTGTGGTCCCCACACGGCAGCCCCACCACTCGCCTGCTGTTTTCTTAGACACCTAACGAAGAAAAATGCATCTATAACCAGGATTTTCCCCTGTATTAAGAAACAGAGTCAGCAGAGACCGGTTTGGTCAGTCCAAAGGAAGACTTCCCCAAGGCCACAAACACCACACAGTCCTTCCTGTAACCAGCATCAGAAGATGCAACTGGTGAGGGACATCTGGCTTTATCTAATGACACAAGACTGCCCCGAGCTCAGCTCCAGCCCACCAGTTGTGCAAGGATGGCTTGCAGGAAACTTACTGCATTCAAATCTTTCTTGAACGATGGCCAGCAAACTGTCTGATACTTTAAACGTAAGAGGCAGTGTATTTTCTGAAGCTCAGAGCAGGACACTGTATTTGCTGCTTCTAGAGAAGACTCAGCTGGAAGTCAGAGCTGCGACCCATGCCAACTGACAACACAACAAGAGAGCTAAAGAAAAAAGCTTTGCTTGATTTTTTCCCCCGCCTCCTATTACAAGGGCTTGGAATTTACCCTATACCTATGGAGGGCACTGGATTTTCTGATGAGTCAGCTACATCCGCTGCTGTTGGGGAGAGCTGAGCTATGACTGAAGGAGTTACTCAAAGACAACAACAACAAAAAAAATCCCCATTTAAATACATTCATCTGAAGTCAAAAGCACTATGATCTTTGGAGTCTGTTGATATGATTTTGTACTGATACACTTTTCTGCTATTACAGCAGCTCG